ACCGTATGGAATGTGTTGGCTTTGTCCAGTTGGCTGATCTACCCAGAGACCGTACTAGGCTGAACCATAAGTTGTCGTCCACAACGCGGCCTACAACTGCAGCCACTGGGACCCACTTGAGGTATAATTTCATGTTCAATGTCCGCTAGTCTATCACGTCCACCAGGGCCAAAAATGTACCTACCCAACGCCTTTAATAAACTGCACAATCTGTCTAAACTAGGCGTAGGGACCACGACCAACCCTTCAGCAAAATATTTCCTCTGGCCTGAGACGAACAAGTTTGCTCGAAAGTGGTTTCCGTCACGCATAGCCCGTGTGTAGTGTAAAATCAGCCAGGACGAGCGGTCATTTAAGTCCTTTATTAGCTTTGGACACCTGCTCTACCCATGTCCATAAAGACCTTGCATGACCCCAGGTAGAGTCTAATCGATAGGCCTATCTTTCCATTTCACTGGATGATCCCACGAGATGACCAGAAGGAGTGTCTATTAAAGGCGGTACCTCTTAAAGCATCACCCGAGTTTTGTCCGAAGGTGAATAGTGAATTCGGGTGTCTATCTTCCGTTACAACCAGCAGTACGTGCCAACTAGGGTGCGGGTCATCTTACATCCTAGCCAAACCCTTAAGCTGAATTCCGTCCCGAATGAAGACATACTGCTCACAAGCAGATATTAGGATCGAATGTTCCCATAGAAAGCCGAAAGCTTCTCTTTCGGACACAAACATGACTCGGTGGGTCGAGGCACCACTACCAACCCTGCTGAGCGTCCGGAAGACACTGAAAGCTAACCCTGGGTCCACTTCCATACGACTTGCCCACAGGTCCATTCTCCAACCAGTTGCTGAGTTCATTTGAGCCTCAACTTTCACAACTGCTCTTGATAGAACATTTCAAGTCACTAGAGTTACAGGCGCCATGCTATAAGCTGGTTCTGCTTCTGCTAGGCCTGAAAAACGGACATCTCATTCTCCCATTTTATCAAAAGATACACAAGGGTTGAACCCTCTAGTTTTTGGAACATGTGGAACCCTTCACAACTGCTTCCTTTGCATAAACATGAGTAGTTTTTCCCTTTTCACCAGAACACCGTTTTGATTAAGGATGAGGCATTTTTTGCAGTTTACGTGATCGTGGCATCGCGCATTTGTTCCAAGTTCTCCATACACCCACAAAAATCAAATTCACCCTTGTGTCTTTCTGAAGGCGTTATTTTTGCAACCAGCGTCGTGTATCAAGGTTTTTTCTTTCGGTTCCGGACACCACTAGCACTGCGCCGAGTTAGAGAACCGCTAAGATTGAGACAGACCTCGTATCCTGTATATTCTCTTTCTTCTTCAACGAAACCTTAGGACAAGATCAAAATCACAGGTGATTGTTTCCAGCGAGCCCAATGGGTTAGCTCTAACAATGACAATGAAATTTGGTTTCAATTCCGGCAAGAATCGTCTTAAGGTCTTTACGAACATACTAGCGGGGAGCGAGCAGTAGTGACAAATAATCCCTCAAACTAGATGGCCTGGGGAGGTCATTCCAGACAAACCCTGCCCAGGAGCTCGAGGCAAACCCCAAAAACCTATATCGATTTGGGGCAGGTAGAAAATCCACCAGCAAAGGGGCTTGCGTTCTGAAAGGCCTAGACGGAAAGAACCTCTCGTGACCAGAGATCATCGAAGCCTTTGGCGCCATCTTCGATAAGCAACTGAACACGTCCCTACAGAACCAAAATTACCAACCGTTCGACCAACATTCAGCACCGCCAAATGCATTAGAGTTACCTGCCATGGTCCTAGAAAAACTGTCGAAGCTCTGCGCCAGGGTATGATGACATCCGACCGGCTGCGTTGAAGCGATGCGCCCCCCGGACAATCACATGCTTCCACGAGGGTGGAAGAGTACTATTCTGTCCCCCATCTCCAAAGGAGGAGACAGGCAGAACCCAAGATGCTACCTACTCATAGCCCTTCTACCGGTGGTGTCAAAAGTAATGGAGAGCCTGGTAGGTGACCATGTCAGACAGTACTTAGAAGAGAGGGGGCACTTAGTGGTGCTCAATATGGTCTCAGAAGGGGTAGGTCACGCGTCTCAAACATTCAGCGGGCAGATGATAAGTGGGCGGAACGCTGGGATCTCCAGGTTGGTGTCCATGTTATTTTCTTGGATTTTGCCAAGGCCTTCGACACAGTTCCACACACCGTTCTTATTCACAAAATAGAAGGGTTGGGCATCAAGGGGGAAGTGCTTTCATGGTTGCAGGACTATCTAGACGGTAGACAATTCCGCACAAAAGCCAACAGAGTCTGCTCGACTTGGAGGACATCATCATCTGGTGTATCACAAGGAGCGATTCCGGGTCCTCTGCTATTCCTTCTTTTTGTGAACGACCTCCCACTGAACCTCAGCTCCCTACTTCTACTCTATGTCAATGATGTTAAGTTATGGAGAGCTATGACGTCGGAAACAGAATCAAGTGCACTCCAAAGTGACCTCAGATTACTTGCAGAGTGGGTGGATAATAATGCACTTGCATTTAACCTAGATAAGTGCCAAGCCATATTTCTCCGCACCCCAGACTCTCAGAAGGTACTCTATTGTCTCTATGGAACACAACTTTCCCGTACCACCACAGAGAAAGACCTAGGACTGACACCGACTGACAAACTAAACACTAGCTCTAATTATAGAGGAGATGCTTTCAGAGCCTGCGCTGTACTGCACTTCATGCGCGGACAACTGGGTGCCCTGACCCCGGAACGCTTTTTGAAGCTATGTAAGACCTATATACGACCTCACCTAGAGGTACATAGCGTCACCGCACCACCGTGTCTAAAGAGAGACATGAACCTCCTAGTGAAAGTCTGAAGGCGAGCTACAAAGGGTACCGTGGGAATGAGACGGAAACCACATCGGGATAGGCTGAAAGATCTAGGGATCTACTCTCTAAGCTATCGTAGATTACATGGTGACCCGATAACGGACTACAAAATACTAAGTAACCCAAGCCATCCGAACAGCGGAATCCTACCGAACGGCCACTATGGTCATTCTCATAATAACCGGAGGAGAATCGCCCACCAAAGAGGGGGAACCCGTGTGCGATCACACCGCTCTCTGCGAGTTTGAGGCCACTGGAACGCATTGCCTGCCAAGATTGTTACTGCTGCGTCTGCTGACAGCTTCAAGAAGGGGTTGGAAAGTTACGCAGCGACGCATGGTTTGCGCTCATCCATCTAGGATGTGGACTAGACCGACACGACCTACTAATTAGGTAAGGCCAACCGTTAGCGGACACTTTTGTAAAACCACTGTGGCTGGGAACTTGGCTCAACCTAACACTTTCCCATAGACGTCCCCTCCAGTTACCGTCCCCTACTGAAAGTATTACAATACTCCCATTCGACCTATCATGTTATCTATTATTCTTCCTTCTGACTTTACGTTCTTAAACTTTAGCAAAAGCTCTCACTATCACCTATTCCCCATAAACCTACCAGTGTTTCTTCTTCCACGCCGTTTCCTTTTTCCTAATCTTCCTTTCTTCTTTTATCTTTCTATCTGTCTTCCTCTGCACTTTCCGTCCCCTGATTTCTGTGCACATACTTTTCGTCTCCTTCTTACAACCAGTCCGATCAATTGTCTGCTGGCACGATGATTGAGGAACTTATCTGCACCACAGTCCTCGGAAGAAAAAACAAGCAAACAACACTCCCTACAAATTTAGCCAATACCCAACCGCCTGTCGGGCTGACCAGAGCCACGGCAGTCAAGTGGGTAGACCTACTGCATCCGAATCCACCAAAGACCTGGAACCGTTCTGCAAGACCCAGAGGCAAGCGCGAAGAAATCAGTCGGGTCACACTAGCTCGTAAAAGGGTATTGGATATTGGATACTGGTGGCTCAAAAAGTATTCGGCCCTTATACTGGTCTCCATTGTTTCGGCGGACCTGCTGAGCTTACGGCACACTTAGGTACCCATGTCATCTGGCCCGTTTTAGTGTTACGTTGCACTAGACTAACGTGATCCTGTAACCAGTTAATGAAGCACCTTTGTATCTGGACACGGCTCATAGAAAATACTACTCTTACCCGCTAGGCCACTGTCATTTCTCTTTCCTATACTTTTGCGCATTGCTAAAGTACGGAGAATTAGTGACTGACAACTGCTTCCACCAAGTTGTCGCGCAGGTGATCCTAAAAACGGTCATTTCTGAGCTTAAATGGGACTTACCATAACAAAACTGCGTGATGATATTCGTATAGCTTACTTCTAGTGAAAGAACCTGTCAATGTAGGTAGCACCTGAAAACCTAGGTGTCAGGGACACTTACTAAGATTGTGATGAATGAAACTTCCTTAAGAAGACCATGAATTTTATCATTACTAGTGTGTAGTGTACCTTACTGGGCCCGAAAATACTAGTAGGTTTATAATGAACAAACAAATATTTAAAATATCCAAGAAATTGTTAATAGACGCGAGAGATCAAAAACTACTAGTTTTCTACGCTCGCACTATCAATATTGGATATTGGAATCCTCCACTATATTAATAGGTAACTTTAGCTTTGTGAGTTTACTTTGACATGTAGGCACCCACCAATTGACATTCCTCATTTCTGGGCGTTTTTGTGCTGACCAGTAGCAACTTACTAAGAGTCCATAGCTCAGCTGTTAACATTCAACCACTAATAAAACCTCCTTACCTCTGAACAATAAATTAATTTTTCATCTTGGCACTTTCTGCCACATCGTCTCTCCTTGTTTGTCCTTCATTATAAGTAATTAAATGAAGGTAGGGTACTGATTAGTTCGGTACTGGTGCACACTAATTCGGGTAAGGCTGATCAATTGTCAGACAATGGTAACACAACCAGACTCTTACTAATGTTTTGATTCCCATTATTACCACCGTTATTTTCCTCGATACTTTTCCTCACACTTACTGTCTGAGATTCAATGATGTTCATTTTAGCTGTAGATATCACTCTCTTTTTCTTTGTCCTCTCTATGAGCGCCTTGTGATGGTTTGAACGTTATCGTTTCCCCGGGGTTCTAAATTACTTAGGCAACTGCTGGTCTTGTGACTTATAAAGTAGAGTGTTAATCTCCAATAGTATGTGAGTTAATGAGCCTATATTTGAAATCTTTTTGAAATAGGCAGATGAATTGTTATCCCCAGCAGTATTTTTCTTCCTAGTCATAAGTTCCTAACTGCAAGGACTAACATATATGGATAGTCTACCTGCCTCGTTACTGATGTCTTCAGTAACTTTTGTGATGTAAATTTTAGTTGTTTATATCTGATTGCACTTTTCACCCTGGTCCTAGTATAATTAAAATGGCGAGGTGAAGTTAAGTTGAATTTCATTGTTCTATGTTACTCCTAGCTCTACAGACTTACTTTGGGTTCGACCGGAAAATCACTGAGAGTAGATTTCGAAGTCAGTTTTGTAGGAGTTTCAGAAAGTTACGGGAATGGTTGGGATTTTCTTGTAAGATATCGCTAGTCCCAAAGTTCTACCTTGCAGTTGTTAAATGCTGTTATGGGGCTGGTTTGATATGGATTTTAGAGCTCAAGTCGAGTGACTGAGCAGCATAACCAACCTGAAGATGGACAAAAGTTTCTACAATATTGTGGTTAAAACCCATTTCAGTGTTTACACACTCAGCGCTGCTTCTGGGCTTGTTTGCCTTGACTTGGCATGTGGGTCATATTTTATCGTCTTTCCATTCAAATTTTTCGAGCAACTGACTTTATACTAAGGTACTGATATTACTTAACAAATTTCAGGTGGGTCTTGATTAAGAATCTTCTAAACATGTTTATAATATTTCCGCTAAAACATGAAAATAGTTTCACTACGTCGTTACAATTAGGGAAAGTTGTGCATAGTAACTACCGTACTGTATCGACTTTGATAACCCACCAACCACCTGTCTAGCTACTTGCCTAAATTATGCGTGACTTATTACAAAACTGCAACCTCCAAGTTTCAGGCATATCAGACATTGCGTGTCTTCATGGAATATCCTAAATATGAACGTTTTCTAAAATCTGTCCCCAGATTGCATAAGGCGTAAGCATTTCATACATACATAGTTAAGTAGCACTGGCTATCTTTTGGTGAACGACCATCATCGGTATATAATAGGATTCAGTATTTTTCCATGGTAAAGTCGTTTGTAGTTTATTTCTTTCCGATTTTCTCCTGGTTTTAAGAAGTAAGCCCATCTTCCGGGTGGTTTCGAAGCTGTGGCTCCATGGTCAAGGCACTTGACTCTACCAATGGGTCATGGATTCGAATCCTCTTCCACCAAGAGTACGGGTAACTAGGCAGAACCATAGGCTCTCGTGCGCATTTGTTGCTCATTGGTTTAGCTAGTTAGCTTCCAACCAGTGGGTTATGGATTTGAACACCATCCCGCCTACCTGGGTTTGGGCAGCCAGTTAGTATCATTTTCATTCACAGAGTAGGTATCTCATTGCCTATTGTACGGACGTGCACGTGGTTGCTGAGTTATTTTAGATTTCCGAGGGTAGTAGATGTATAGACGATAATACCTTTGATAGGCATAGTACGAAAGGGATGGGATCAAAATTATAAATGAATAACTGAATAGAATCAATTGGATGTGGAAATTATGGTTAAAAAAGTAATTCGTGATATTTTAGTATGAAAACGAATCCGTGTATTCTGTAGCTAAATAGGCATAGATCATGTTTCTTAGTAAGTATACACCAGTCATTCTTATGTTATGCACTGTATGTGCTTATAGTTCAGCTTTGATAGAAATACACATAGACATACATAGACATATACATAGGGTGAATACGGGAAACTTAGGCAACACTTTTTAAGTCTTGCTGAACACGAAACCTGAGCCTATTTAGACTATTATTCCCCTTAGCCTTGACTGTGAGTTATCTATATTGGCTTCATAAATGCTCTGTCAACAATATGTAAAATTTCATATTCGTTATTGCAAACTTTAGTAGGAAGTACATACGTATCACCTGGTACTTAATATACTTTTTATACCTTTACATATGTTTTGTATAATTGCAATTTATGAGTTTAAAACTTTCCCGTGGTCTCGCTTTGCATAGTCTACAACTTACTCCACATCCAGCTGACTTCATGCAGTTCAGCACAAGTGTTAGCTGAGTGGATTATAGAGGAGTTTTTCACATACTACCACACGCAGCTTCGTGAGCTAAGAAATGAGCTACACTTATTGTGTATCCGTCCAGGCCTCGGTAAACGAGGTGGGCTGTTTGCAGCTTTTAAGTACACTTTGAGAGCTTCTGTCATTTTTAAGGTGCTCATAATGTATTTTCAAATTTTGTAAAGTGTGTTTCGCTTACATACTCAAAATTATTTTGTGGAGACGTTTATTTGGATGTGTACAAAAAGGCATCCACTGACATAAACTCCAGTAGCTACAGATTTCCCCAAGGATATCGAGGAATTTCAAAAGTTGCTGACACAATGTGTGTGCAGTTTTTGTTAGTCCTGATTCCGTGAAATTGTGAATTGTATCATAAAATTTATGCTTCTCATTGTGCCTCCCAGTTTATTCAAGTAGATGTAATCGACATTACTCTGTGTCGTGGAGTCAAGTTTTACCTACTACACCCAACCAATCAACACTGAGTTTAAAATGCCTTCGTAGAGTTCGGAGAGAGGGAGATAGGTTAGTGATCCCACCAATGCATTACCTTTTTGATGTACGTATCAGTCTTCTTTAGTTCCGATAGAGGTAGGCATTCAATTTTTATATGAGTGGCTTATCTCAAGTCAGGCATCACTGCACTCATAGTATCGAAACAAGTGATGAAAATCGAAACCTAATACATGTTAGAATACTAGTGGAAAACACGTTTATTGCGTAGAAATAGAGTTCAATCCTCTCGTTCTTTCATGTTGAGCAAAGGATTGTCAGGGAACGTGTAGGATTGAAAAGTGAGTTGTATTGGTTTTGACGTGTATAATTCCCGGTCTTTTAGTTAGTAATCCTGTACTGGGTTGCTGGGTGGTATTAATCCATTTCCTTTTGAGTTATTCATATTTATCTAGTTTGCCGAGTAGTGTTAATGAGGCTATACTTTGGATATCACTCCAAAGCGTAATAAAGTGATCAAATCTAGTTTATCATTGCTAGTATTAGACTAATGTAATTCAACCTGGCACAGATCTGTGTACTAATGTAGGAACCACGCTAATTATTTGAGGGTTTTTGATGGGACCTGGTTCCTCAGGCCGAAGTAAGCGGTACGGAATTGGAACCCGAGACTCATTGCTTATCTTTTTTTTCTCGCATCTTGTGAGATATCTAGGATGTTATGAGCTGCAAAGAATAAATTTTCAGATATGCAGTGTAGAATCTAACACAAAATAAGTTCCGCTTACCGTGCAGAAAAATTACAGAGCACTGTTAAAATAAATAAATGATTAGATGAAGAAAACTTAAATGTTCAGCTAATTCAAATAAATATATTCATCTGTCCATCATGATTTTTCTCAAGTGGTATCTCGATGTCTCCAGTGACTAGTTCTTAGCATCTCCAGGACATAATGATATTATCAACACGGATCTTGATATTATTGCTCAGCGCTCTAACTCGCTACAACACAGCACAACCTGTTAATTCATAGGTGAGACTAATGGTCCAACTGTATAGTGTGTATAATGTGACCATCTTTACCCTTCTTCAAATCCAGTCCAAAATTGCCCTTTAGGGTAGACAGGCTGTAATTGTGTAACATGTGTCTAAACCAATTCAGTCGGTTTACTTCGACCGACTCACCAACTGACCTATCTCCTCTATGTAAAACTGGGCACCTAACCTCATGATTGCTCATCTCGTAAGTTTTCTATGCGTGAGTAGTTTTACTTTATTTCTGTTCACTTTCTCCACTGTTATAAGGTACGATAGCTTAAACTGACGCATTAATATTCAAGGCTACGCATTAAACTGCATGGTTGGAAACTGACTACATCGATGCAAAAAAAGATCCTCTTCAGAATTCTGAACAGTTTCATGATCGTAATTGATTTTCCCTCTTAGGACTTCTACCCTTGTTTACCTTAGTACCTTTTTGCTGTCGTTTTGTTTTTTAATGTGCAATTGAAGATTGTGACAACACCAACCATTGCACTTTTGCTTGAAGTTTGACAGTATCCTATCTGTTCTTCATTAAAAAGTTGGGTATCTAATTAACTTTTCCAGAAACTGATCAGACTTCTTTTATGATCTGATATTTCACCTGCAGCTAACCCACCAATCATCGAATGAAGCCCCGCTCCACCAACAGAGGTTTGGGCAACCAGATAGTAACATTAACCCTCACACAATAAGTATAGCTCTATGCCTACTGCACGAACATGCACAAGGTTTTAAACCATGTCACTAAAAGTCCTCAACCACTGATTCCTTTCGTCTCGGTGACCCTAACCATGTAGTCTACATCTCCTCACACGACTCAGACTAACAGTCACGGACTTTACCGTTTGGTTTAACGTGTTGGTCTGGCCACCCTAAACCCTTTTCCAGCCCTATCCAGCTCCCCCTAGTATGGCACGTCGAGGTAGGCAGTGGCTGGGTACGTGCAGTACGTCTCCAAGCCATTCTAGTCGACTAAGGTTCACAACCTCATCGACTGACTTTCCTATCTCGCCTAGTACCTTTCGCCTGATCTCAACATTGTTCACACAGATTCCACAAAATGTGAGCAACGTTGTGGAGACACGTATGGTCAAAACCCTGCAACCGCTTCATCTCGTCTACTTTCAACAGCCATGTCTCACAGTTGTATAACAAGACAGGACGGACTACGGCGCAGCATACTCGCCCCATTGATAGATAGTCGGATATCTGGCCAGTTGGTGCCACAGCTGATGCAAGTTGGCGAATGCCCAACGGATCTTCTGTATGTCCGGGCTGAGATTCCGTCGGCGACTGGCGCGTTCGAGCCGACGCAACTCTCTAGGTAAGTGAGGTGATCGGCGCATTCCACGATTTAAACAGGGAGTATTTGTAGCAGACCAGTCCTGGCGCATCATCTTACATTTGAGAGATGACAGCAAACCTCATGTCAAAAAATGTTTTTCTCAAGACGTTCAGGAGACCCTGCATTTTGTCAGCGTCTTCACTCAGCAGGGCATTATCGTCTGCATACTTCAAGTCAACCGGATGACCTCCAGGTCAATCCCTGAGAGGTTGTACGTACCTAAGGTTATCTCCATTGGTACGTCTATGATGAAGTTAAATTGAAACGGACTGACATCTCTAGCGAACATCACTAATTGTCGTCAATTCACATGACAACTCTACTAAGCCCTTACACGGTCTCCTTCATATCAAGAGATATGGCAAATGTCAATCTATTGTAAGTATGACTGTTCCAAGTCCCTTCGGATGGTGAAAATATGATGGATGTATCCTCAAGCAGGTCTGGGACTTGTCTGGTTTTTCGAAATTGCTTTTCTTGTGCTCCAGTTAGTCGTCAAATAACTATAGATTCCAGGATCTTGGACACAATACCTGTCAAATTAATTCCTCTATAGTTATCACAGGAAGACATCTCACTTCTTATAGACTGGGATGATTAGTGAAGCACATCAGTCTGATGACAATACCTCTGGTTCCCATACACTACCTAGTACCTCCATCACTCTTATCAACAATTACCTACCTCTATCCTTGAAAACAACTTCGGATGGCGAGCTCTCAGATCCTGCTGCTTTGCATCGTTTCAGGTTCGATACAGCTTTCTCAACTTCAATGGCCCACATCTACGTCCCATTCAGGTTCAGAGAGGACACTGAGCAACTGAAGCATTGCTGAGGGTCAGTTGAACTGTGCTTCAGAGTGTTCTGCTCAACGTTCTAGCCACCTGTCCTGGTCAGAATAAGTCTTCTCGTATCAATCAGTTTGGGTGACGTCGCGAAAATCCAGTAACGTTTGCTCACTTTCGGGTATAGGTTACCAGTAGTATTGACGGCTGTTTCTACAGCAAACTTAATGTGACGCCAAGTTTTTTTCAGGATGAGCATTGCTGCCACGTCCAGATAAATGCTTAGCTGACTCCTCTCTAAATGCGTATATGGTATCCTCATCTGCCAATGGGGCCGAGATGGTCTTCACTACCTCATGGGACCATTAAGGCTCAGATACACGCGAACCCATGCTAGCGCGTATTCACAGTCCAAACTGGTACCCTAAAGTGAGCGTCAATCCTCCGTCGTTCATCTCTCCCATAAATGCATGATTATGCTGTCAGGAGAAAGGCTTGTTTCGCTTCAGTACACAGATTACTGCAGTCACCCTTAATCGGCCGGTGGTCATTTTCTATGTGTATAGTATGAGTTTTGCATCACCGAATCGCTGCATGTTTGTGCAAAAATGACTAGAGTCTTTGCCCACTCTTTGGTGGTAAACTGTTGGAGGTAGTCGTATGTCAAAAACTAGGTTGGCATACGTCAGTTGGGGACATTTTCAGTGCCATTACCGCAGCGGTGTTGGGAAAGGTGAAATATAATACACATTTGTATATTGTTCCACTCTGTGCCAGTTAAACCCGACTTTTTTGTGCTTTTTCTGTCCGGCTCTTTGGTGTTTTCGACCAGTCATCATCTAAGTACTACTTACATATAATGGACGCAATTTATAGGCAGTTCAGTGGTCCAACTCCTAGTGTTGGGCGTAACAGAAATAGTCGCTAACTTAGTAAAGTCATGTCAGATTACGGACTGCTTACTTGGACGTATTTTAGAGACGTTGTCTCATAATTTGTCACACTCTTTTTCTGTCTACCGGTCCTGGGATTGTTTGGTAGGCGCTGAAAGCTGGTCAATGAATGTATGACATGTTGCCGTGAGATAAGAGACAGTTATTTTGAGTCGTTAGTGCATTATGACTGAATGAGACCACAAATTATGCAAATAAAAGACTCAAAATGTCCTCTGGTAGAACTTAAAGTTTAAACTAGCAGTGATAGGCTATGCCATCCCTACCTCTCCCATTTGAAAAAAGTGACACAAATGCAATAAAAGCGTTTTTAAACGCATCTTATGAGATCGACTGTCATCTATTTTTTCACTTCTTAGCTCTTTTTGTTTCTGATTCCAGAATGTTGTTACATTATGTGTAGTGGATTTCTTAGTGTCCATATTGTACTAGGTTTTCATTTTAAAGCAGTAAGAAAAGGTGTATAAAATACAGTTCGCAAGCACGTTATTGTTACTAGGATGAAAAAGCACATCCTTTTAGTAGATATTCCAGATAACCTATGTTAGGACATATCTAAGGTTCCCAGTTGGGATGATTAACTGTCTTGTTTGTGCGTGTATGTCGCCAATTTCTACCGCTTTTAAGGGCTCCTTTCTTGCATTTGTTCTTCCGTTTTTATTGAGCTTTTTCGTTTGCTTCAAGGGCATTACGGCTGTACACGAACACACAAGTTGTGCTCTTATTTTCACACTCTTCCGATTGAAGTAGGCATTCTTGTTTCTGGTACTGTCTTCTTCCTTGAGTTAGCCTAGCGAGTTGTCGAGTATCGTATTTCGTTCATTTGGTGTCCAGATTAAGCTTCCATAATCTACTGTATCCTCAAATTTTGTCTACCTTGAAGAACTAAATTCACTGTATGTAAAACTGAGTAATCACTTTAAGCCTACTGATGAAAAAATCGTAACTATTAGATATGGAATTTAACGTTCTACATGTAGCATATTAACGCTGCCTTGCATTCATAAGTTGAAAATTACTGAGCTTTTAGTAACTCGTGTTTTATCCTGTATTAACTAGTTATTATTACATAGATATCACGTCTTATCATTTTGGGTCTCATTCTTTGTACATAAGTAGCAATCTAGTGTACGTTATGTCAGTAATCACTTTTGATTTTTTTTCCCCCATCATTACATGATTCACGTTTTGTAGGTAGTTTTAACTCAAGTGCATTAGTCAATATCACAGTTCAGCGTAAAGACAAATAATGAATTGGGATACTTTTGTTACTGTGCTTCAGCGTTTACGTTGGTTGTATATCCATGTCTGAAAATGCACTGTAAATCGATGGTCTTCAAGTTTATTTTATAGCGAAGCTTAGATACAATGTGTTTCAATTGGTGGCGTAGTCACTAATTTCTGGATATGTTGGCAGTCCAGAAATGAGTAGAGGTCTGAAATCGTCAGATGGCTTTTATAGAAAATACTCTTGGTCATGCTAAGGGAAGGTTGATAAAAATCATTGATTTAAAAAGCCGTCGTGTCTTATTTATTCGTGCTTAAAATTTAAATGTGAATATGTACAGTAATTTGGTTCCACATTCCTTTTCTTATTTGATCTAGTTGCATATTAAAAGCTTAAATTTGGTCCTTTTTTCAGGTTTCGCATACCATAGTCATTCTGAACTTTCTCATCCAAATGGATTTTTTCAGCCGAACACCCGTCAAAAACGATGTCCTGAGTATTATTGGACAGGTAACAGCCTTTCCTTTTTAACTGTTTGCGTATAAAGCTTAGTTCAAGGAAGAAGAAGCCACGTACTCCATTCTGCAGCAACCATACGATTGCGAACTTACGTGAAGTTCGCTCTGTTCCACTTCAGTTTGATGACTCCACCCCAGAGAAGTTATGTAGTGCAAATTTTCAAAAAGAAGATTCATCTAACGTTAAAAATGTTCAATCGGGAACTGTAGATGCTGAGTTAAGCTTCAATAGATACTCTCATGTAAAAACACCTCTCCAAAATCTGTCAGCAATCAGATGTTATAGTAACGCAAGTTCAAAGCTATCTGTTGGCAGTGGCAACGAATTTGATGATACCTTCACAGTATCTCAGAAATTCTCAAAGACGGATATATGTGAGCCAACTGTCAATGATGACCATGATGCAAAATTACCCGTACAGTTTCTATCAGTGATCAAATGTAATCGTGATACCAGTTCCGAACCATATGTTAACAGCAACAGCAATGTTGAAAGTATATTTGCTGTGTCTCCGAAATTATCAAAGACTGGTATCAATGAGACAGCTGTCAGTGATGATCATGATGCAAAATTATCTGTAGAGTTTCCATCAGTGGTCGAAAGTAACCGTGATACCAGTTCCGAACCATATGTTAACAGCAACAGCAATGTTGAAAGTATATTTGCTATGTCTCCGAAATTATCAAAGACTGGTATCAATGAGACAGCTGTCAGTGATGATCATGATGCAAAATTATCTGTAGAGTTTCCATCAGTGGTCGAAAGTAACCGTGATGCAAGTTCCAAACTGTATGTTAGCAGTGAGGATAATGTTGATGGCATGTTTGGGGAGTTTTTGGTATCTTCGAAAGCAATCATGAATCAATCCACTTCGCATAATTACTCCAATGTTAGACCTGCACAGGCATCTTTGGATTTCGATCGTGGTTCAGGCTCAAATATTAGGTCAAATTCTAATAATAGTGATGATGACGATGAAGCCTTTGAAAAGTTTTTACAATCCCAAAAAACGGTAACCAATAACTCATCGGATGATCAAAGTAGTACGTGGATATCTGAGGATTCCGATGAGGATGGCCAATCAGGTTTTGATTCCCCATATCAGACGTTTTACTACAGGATCAATAATCAAGAGGTTTATCAAGATATCAAAAAACCACTGTATGTCAGCTTATTTACAGCGAATGTTAATTTTTTGATGATCATCATTTGGTATTCTGTATCAATCGATAAAATGCTACATATTCTGTGGTTCTAATATGAATAAGATGCATCAAATGCTTTGTTCATTTGTAAAGGTTGCATATGTCCTTATGGTGACTAATATAGTCAAAACATGGACACAAACCTCCATTTGGCATTTGCTAATCTATAACGTTTCTGTTGTCGTTGCAAGGTTGGACTACTGGTCAAAAGGCAAATCTAATTTGAAGCACTCCACTACTTCGTATTGTGTGGTTGTTAGATGTAGTCTGTTAGATTGGAAGGTATGCTAAGTTTGTATGTTTTTGACCATAGTTACCTTCAGCGGATTGTTTACACATATCAGGAACAACAAGCAAAACATATTCAAATGAGGTATAGAATGTTTAGCCAATGTGTTAGTTCGATCTACAAGATTTTGAACGTGCATATACTCAAGTGGCTTAGACATCCATCATGCAGGTCAAATACCCATCTATTATGGCGTGCATTTTTTTCTAGAATCAGGCTTTGTTTGGAAGAGGGTTAAGAATGGTGAGGTGAATAAGTGATAGCGATCCCCTAAATCTTTAGCTGTTTTTTAATCATTTTCATAAGGTTGACTGAAGTTGTGATCAATTTTTGTTGAGATTATCGCAATTTATGGGGAATTTTTCGATAGTAGTAACACGCTGTCTTCACTTCTGTCACTCGTATCTTATTGCTGTGAAGTCAAATTTCTATTACGCACGCCTTATTTGGGATGAAAGTAATTCTTTGACTAAGGATATATGATTCACTTTTTAAAAGTGAATATGGGATATTAGTATTCAGAATGATAAAATAATATTCTTAACCCACAAAATAGGTCAGTTTATAGATTCTCCTTGGTTTCTGTAATCTGAATTATATTTATGCTTTACCCTAACGCTGAATTTGCTAAACCTGATTAATGCACATTGTTATCAAACCTTAGAGTCAAACTTCACACCTTACGCATAGATTCTTGAGACGTTCCAGAAATCGAACGCAATTCCATCTTTCTCTCTTGTACTCGCTTTGATAAGTACATGTTCATTCTTCACCACACTTCAAGGCGACATGAGGCTAATAGTTGTCTACTTTACTAAAGACTAAGTTTTATGCAGATGCATTGGCCTTGTATCAGTACTGTTTGTAGTGACATCCAGTCATTCATTAGTTATACCCGCAGTGTGATCTCCCTCAACTATTTCTCTTTTCAAATTGGCTCAGTACGGCCAGAGGGTAATTCTCCCCCATGTTTTCTGATGAAATTTTGTAGATAGCCATTATCTTGACATTCCCCAATTGAAGCTTATTTTTCCTCCAATACATCTATTGAACTCTTTTTTCTCACTCTGAAGTAGTGTTCTCGCTAATCTTTTTTTGTAGCTCATCGAGCAGAAACTGTGAAAGTTGAGATATTCCCTATTCCAATAGACGAATTTCTGGTATTTCCCATCATTTTTAAGTATGATAGGTGGGGCCGAAAATTGGTGTAAGCAGTTTTCTGTCACATTGTGAATTTATTATTTAGAAGGGTCTCAGTATTTATATTGAGCTTTTGACCCATCTCATTTCATCGTAAACAATAATGGTATCATCAACGTTCCTTGTGTAAAATGTCTTTCCACTAATTGCGTGTGCTGGTTCCATATCTTCCAATTGGACACAAATACATCATCGAGAATCTGACGCAATAGGCTCTCTGCTTTCACTTCGTTGGTTGGACGATATGATTTTTTGAAACAGTTAATCCCTTTTATTAATTTTGATAGTGTAATTAGAAGACTAGAATTAACCGTTTATTGCGTATAAATTCCAACAGTTGCTTCAACTGCCTTAGGTATAGAGATACTTTCCGGATTTTGTCTGATAATACCAATCACTTCTACGGGTAAAGTATTCCTGAACGGTGAGGTTAGATCGTAAAAACTCGTCTTTCGTGGGATATTCAGTTAGTCTACTTATTGTACAAATTTGTGTGTCTTTTCAAGCAAAGTGCATTATCTGCCTTTCATGTCACAGTCGGGATTATATTTTGTTGATTTTAACTCACATTCATCTTCTTCATCTCAGTCTTGTGTTCGTAATCGTTTTACGAATATCTAACAGAGTTGATGAATATTTCGACAGTAGTTCTAGCATCACTACTACAACCTCAACTCTCTTTACAACCCATTATTTTAACTACTTTGCGTGCCATTTTTATTTTCCAAACTATCGTATTCTCTTGTTATTGTTTATATTCTGTTTTCTGATGACAGGTAAAGTTATTAATTACAATGTATATTGACATTTATTTTATTATTGTGATTATAATTTACTATCTGAAGAGAAAACTCTGAAGTACATTCATGTCGTCGTGTTCTACTGAATTTTTTACCTTTACTTCATTCAAATCCGGTCGTTTTTACACCTAATCTAGTCATATAATAATTGTTTTCCATCCTGCCACTGAAACACCTCTAAAGACGTGTCATTTTTTATTGGTCAATATTGGAACAGCCAATGAACAGAGAAAATCAGCAGTTGGTCAAATGATAAGCAATCCCTGAATGGCAGTCGAAATCATTGTCCACGACCTACTTTAAGGTGCTTAATGCGCGTAATCCGCATATCTTTCGGCATCAGTTCCTGATGCCATTGTAAAACTAATGGTTATCATTTGACTACCTGAGATAGCCGTAGTTTGGCAGACTAGTATTTATACTGGTAGGTGATTGAAGGTGAAATGAAAATTAACAACACGACCGCATTCAAACCAGCGACCATCGGGTAGCGGTCTAAATTTTCATTTCACCTTCAATCATCACCCAGTATAAACTAATGGTTATCTAAATATACTTTTCATAGGTCATTTCAGGTGACTAAAACAGTTGTAAATCTAGGCTGTGTGAATCATATCTTTTGGGAAATTCTGTGGTGCATTTGAACATTGAAACTTTTTCCCGTTCACTAACTATTCAATAAGCAATACAATATTTATATCGGTTTCAGATCAGCCTTATTCGATTCCGATTTCGAGTCTGATAGTGAAAATTGTATTTCAAATGAAAGAAGTCAGATACCTACAGTCCCACTTGCTGAGTGTCCATCTCTTTCAAATCGTCAGAAAAGTAGGAGCAAAATAGAAAAATGTAATAGACCCGAAATATCTACTGAGGAATTTGTTTACTCTCTGTATCCAATTGATATTAATCGGAGTACACATACAACGTATGAAAAACACCGTCATCCCGATGCACTGAAGTGAGCCCTTAATTTTACCAGTTTATTAGTACTTGTATTTTTTTATTGTATGAGCTAGACTGTTTCCCCTATTTTGAATGTAGTAATGAAACCTAATTGACTAACTTCGTCACACTATGTAAGTTTCTTGACTGAAATCGTTCTCTAGAATAAAAAGTTGAACATGATTATTTTTCTCATGCGGAACTAGTCTGATAGTTAGTTGTTAAAAACATCGCCAGAAAATACTCAGGAAATCTACATAACTTCAGAAGAAACAGATAAAAAACACATTTGAAATGGTTCCAAACACAATAACATTCGAAAAACGCTAGAATATGCAGAAGTTATGAGAAGCGGCTGACAACAGAATAGATAGATAGATGATGAAAACTGCAGTGAGTGAAAGTAAATGATGACCTTCTAGGTTCACTGAATTTTCGCGACGTCATCCAAACTGATTGATACGAGAAGACTTATTCCGACTAGCTCTGACCACAATAAAGTCCGAAAGCAACTTGGACATGAATTGACCAAGAGTCTTGGTAGTGACCAAGAACAGTGGAGGGTAACGAAAGCGAGAGATGAAGAGGGCATCAGCATTGAGTAACACTCAGCAACTATTTAAGCATATTAAGGATACTGGAAAGAAAAAGATGTTTGGTGAAACCACCACCGAAAAGAATGGTACCCTCCCAGGACAGGTGGCTAGAACGTTGAGCAGAACACTCTGAAGCACAGTTCAACTGACCCTCAGCAATGCTTCAGTTGCTCAGTGTCCTCTCTGAACCTGAATGGGACGTAGATGTGGGCCATTGAAGTTGAGAAAGCTGTATCGAACCTGAAACGATGCAAAGCAGCAGGATCTGAGAGCTCGCCATCCGAAGTTGTTTTCAAGGATAGAGGTAGGTAATTGTTGATAAGAGTGATGGAGGTACTAGGTAGTGTATGGGAACCAGAGGTATTGTCATCAGACTGATGTGCTTCACTAATCATCCCAGTCTATAAGAAGTGAGATGTCTTCCTGTGATAACTATAGAGGAATTAATTTGACAGGTATTGTGTCCAAGATCCTGGAATCTATAGTTATTTGACGACTAACTGGAGCACAAGAACAGCAATTTTGAAAAATTGAATTTGGAGGGTTTGTGGGGATTTAGAGATATTTCAAGTTGGTTTTCATTGTAGACTGACATCATTTGGAGGAACACTGGGAAGCTGGGAGCACTAGACAACTGCTTCGTCCTATTATGAGACTCCTCAGCACTGCGCACCCACGACCCCGCCATGATCGAACTCGCGATCCTCAGGTTCCGTGGCCAGCACGTTACCATTGAGTCACAGGGTCGGAATCCAGTGCTCCATATTTCCAACTTCTGTCAGTTCACGACGTAGCGCGACCGCCACCCAATGTCATCGTTTAGTATGTGTCCTCACGGCCACCAGGTTCGCCCCACTGGTCACGACTTTTCACTGGGACTTCTGAATCACCTCTCGAAGCTAGTCATCAATGAACACTAGTTTAGTTGAGTTTGGGTTTTTGTGGGGATTTAGATTTCAAGTTGCTATTCTGTAAATCCCTAGTAACCCCCAAATTCAATTGAACTAGTTTTCGTTTGCGAGAGGGTTCAGGGTGGCCAGACCACCAATCGGTGAAGTCCGTGTCTGTTTGCCTAAGTGGTGTTGGGAAATGCAGACCACATGGTTAAGGGGTCCCCAAGGCGAAAGAAATCAGTGGTTGAGGGCTCTTAGTGATATGGTTTGAAATCGGTCACATTGTTGGAGAAGTATTCACTTCTTGACACCTTCCAAAGCATGAATATTCGAAATAACCGTTATTTTCAAGTTGTTTTATTTTGTCGCACAACTTTGTCTACTTTAGTATCATTCTTATTTTATCCACCTGTTCTTCTCATACTACTGTAAAGTTTGGCATCTTAAGGTAGTGCGTTTGTTCGAGGTTCTGCATTGATTTTGTCAGCCAGTCAGCCGTTAAAAGCTAAAGTTATGGAAAAACTGCAGGTCATTGACAAAAGTTGTGTTCGTGGCGTTGCTTACGTTGAATGGGATCGCCATATTAGGAATGTGGAGGTCATGGGAAGGGTAGGAAAGTCAGTCAGTCGAGCTATGATTCTTAGCTGACTGAGGTGACCTATACATGCGTTGTGCGTGCTCAGTCACCGACTACCCAGATATACTATGCTGGGGAGGTCGGATTAGGTCGGAACAGGTCTTACCTTGGCCAAATCAAGACATTTGTTGAAGTGTATAAAGTCTCTTACTGTTGGTCAGGGCTGTGTAGGGAGGCATAAACCACCTGGTTCGGGTCCTCGAATGATAGGAATCGCTGGTTAGAGTCATTGCTGAAAATCGTTCATGATGGCTCATATATATTCACACTTTGGCGTCTTCTACTTCTTGAAGATTTCCACTCACCTTGATTTCCGAATTCCTTCTGCTCCAATAGACCTTAGCTTACTTTGATTTCACTATTTTCCTATCCACTTGCTATTTGTATGTTTCTGTGTGGCAACTTGAACCGGTGGATTTTTGTGCCAGGTTCTGATGTTAATTTTTTAAGTATCTTTTTGTCTATTTAGTCTCATCAAAAAGACTAGTTTTATAAAGACTATAGTCAAACAAAAGCAAATAGGGACGAAGTTGTGTAAAACTGACGTCAGTTTCTATTTTCCACTAATTTTGCTACAGTTTGAGTCGAACGATAGAGTCAGTTTATGTAAATGGAATCGGATAAGACTATGACAAGAGGAACATATGGAAAAGCAGTACATCTTGATCAGTAGAGCTATGGCTCATCGGTCTAGACCCTTGAATCCTAGCCTATCCGTCATGGGTTGAAAATTAACCCCACATTTCATTGTTTGAGCAACCGAGTGGTAGGATTAGCCCTCATAAAATAAGTGTGGTTAAATACTTACTGCGTGAAGGTGAACTAGGTTGCTGAGTGGATTTTGACTCGATCCTCTATGTATATCATTGATCGTCTTAGGTTTTAAGAAACAAATATGGTTTTTTTGCGGTGATAATAGAAGAAGAACAGGTATTTCAGCTAAGAGTCTTTTCAGTGATTTCATTTTCAAAGCTGTTCAAGCGCAAATTTATGCGTTTTTCTAGTGTAAGGAGCTAGATATGTAGGTAATTCGATGCGACTGTTATCCAAAATGGGTTCAAAAGCACTATCCCACGTGGTTACGAAGAGGTAACAATGGAGCGATAACGAGTTCTATACTTGAACACAAATCCCGCTGTCTCGAGAACCTCCTAGTTCAGTCATCTATAAAGTTAAAAACAACCTTCCAAAGACTGTCTTCATATTCTCTGCATTGCTGAAGCTCTTGCCATCCCTATGGAGAAACTTTAACTGTATACGCAAAAGAAGGTTGTTCAACCCCTTGTCCTTTCATGGTCTTAGTTTCCAGTCTCATCTACCCTCCTCCCTTTTTCTTTTCAATTTCCAGTTTTGACATTATTCATTTCTTAAGTAATTTTCTACTCATTCTTGTTGCTATGCTCTGCCTGATCACAATCCAGTTCCCAATTACGTCGTCATGTTACAAAACTTCTTATCCAAACTTATTTTGATCACTGTCCATGACTCATCAGTTTTAGGTTTTTTGATTTTTATAACAGCTCATCTATTGACACTATTTGTGTTGCCCTGCTTGACTAACCGTTTTTAACTATCAAATCCTTATACTAGAAAATGTATAAATTTGCGATTGTACAGCTTTGAAAATGAAATCGCCGAAAAGAGACTCTTCACTGAAACACTTGTTCTTTCATATCCTAGTAGGTGTATTTCACACAATGAAAACAGAAGAGTCGATCTAACTATAATTTTTGCCATTTTATGCTTAACTGATTCTTTAGGAAATTAAAATCAAGGTAACGTGTAGATTCTAGGCCTAAGAGCCAAGTGGTTAAAACTTTGTTTCCAGCCATTAAACAATATGATCGAATTTTTTCCCATTGACCATTTCTTAGCAGAATAATAGTGCTACCACCGTTTGTTCTCCTTACAATATGACTGAGCTATATTTGTTTTTACTTTCAAAAGTTATTGTATTGAAACCTAATGATTGATCTATAAAATAATTGAGGTACATAATAATTAATATATGAGCATTTGGAGAATTCTGGAATTATGTTATATGCTGTAAGTGAATTTGAATGTATTCATTTGAGGTGGTAATGCAGCAGACTGGACTACTTAAGTTCTTTTGTAAAGCCTATTTAGCCAATATTGGTTTTAAAAAAACAGTCATCAAGTTGATTGTCATAAAACATTCCCTTTTGTTTTATTTCGGAGTTATACAAACTTTATTATTGACAATAAGACCATTTATTGGAACTTAATATGTCAACTTGGATCTCAGCAGCCGCATGAAGTAAATACTTAACTCTAAAAAAATACGATCAAAGTTAACGTTGAAGCAGTTTATGCCTACATAGTTTTATGGAATAAATATGACTATCGGTGTTAATACAAACGATTGCACGTGATCTCTCTCAGGCTTAATTTTGTTTTACTTCATCTTCTATATAAATGAATAAACTTTTCTAATCACTAGTATTCTGTGGGTTGTTTTGGTTTGTCTTACTTAACAGATTTGTTCAAAAGTTTAAACCTAATCGTTGTGAACTAGCTGAAAAATTATATCAAATTTATAATGAGAAGATATTTTGTAATCAAGTAAGTTATACAAAATTTACACTAAAAACAAGGTGAATATTGTTTCTTTTTGTATGTACTGTAAATTTACTCAAAAATGACATACTCGTTCTCTAAAGTAAATTACTAAAACTGGATTTCAACGTTTCTATCGTTTATTTTACTATTGTTTATAATCAACATTCAGAGTAAGTATCGATGCAAGCCTTGTGAGATGGTAGGTCATAGGTGACATTTTTACTGATATGTTAGTGATCTATAGCTCACTACTATTTTGCTGTTCAGTCTAGTTAATTATTCGCTTTATCAACGATTCGTAAGATGCATATGTTAATCAGCTATTTCATCTTTTGTACAGTTCTGGAATGCCAGCGCTTATTTGTTAATAGTGTGTAGATCAATGAAAAGAATGCAATGCCATGTTTGGAATAATATTTGACTTTTATAAAAAAAACGGACCTATGGCTTATTGGCTTAGGCATTACTTTCACTGAATGTTTCTGCCTCAGAGATTTTGACAGGCAATTAAAATCATCATCAGTTTGCACATAATCAACTTGGTCGTACCGTAGAGCATGCAGCACTTGTTTGCTAAGCTATCGTTTTGAGCAGCGGAGATTGTGATATTGTAACATATTTTGGAAAAACGAAACTGGACTAATATAGCAATAATGGTGGGGTTGCTAGAGTACGCTTTCTGAGTAAAGCCATCCTAGAAACAACTGAAATAACTAATTGGGTTTATTTCTGGTAGAAAGGCAGTTTTTCATAGAATCAAGAAGTCTAGTTAGTTATTTCAGTTGTTTCTAGACCGACGTTTAGATTTACTCTAGTTTCTTTTCATCTAACTTTTTATTGCGGCATCATTCAAAGAAGAGTGGCTTTAAAGCCACCCTAGCGAATACCAAAATAACCAATCAGGTCACGGTACTTTGACGTCAGGTATAGAGTTTTAGGGAGAAGAGGTAAATCTGTTGACGAGGTTATGAATCTCCATCGACTGAGGTGGTTGGAACACGTATTACGCATACCTAGTCGCCGATTGCCTCGTCACACAATGTTGGCCGAAGTAGGTTCAGGCTGGAAAAAGGCTCGAGGTGACCAGAATAAAACATGGCATCAATGTATGAATTCTCTGACTGTTGGTTTGAGCCATGTGGTGCGATGCAGACTAGTTGGTTGGAGTCCACGGGGCAAGAGGAACCAGTGGTTGGAGACTCTAAGTGATGTGGCTCAGAATGGATGGCAGTGGTGCAGATGTGTACACACATTATCCTCATCTTAACGACGCTATACCGAATCTCACCATTTTCTCACTCTTCCTTTCTCTCTTTTAGCACTTTACATTTCTTATGACTGAATTTTCTTATCTTCATCTTTCGCCTCATTGCCTTTTTACTTGATGTACTGATATGAGGTGTGGCAACTGAGACCGTTACTCAGTAATGCCTGGTCCTATGTTGATATTGATGATGATGATGATTATCCTTGTCAATTCCTTTTCAACTACCGATCTAATCAGTCCGAATTGAGTTTACTCTTAATTTAACTTTTCCTTTTTTTTCGCTATTATTGTAAGTTCTCCAAAAATATTTTTATCAAGTTGGTCAGTAGTATGCCGGCTGCAGCTTTCCGTAGAGAAGTAGCTATGTCTGGGAAACATTGCTGGTGAAGATAGTGAATGCGAGGAGGTTTCAGTTGTTTGACCATCGTTATCTTCGTATTTATTATTTATTAGTCCCTTGGGTTCCTAATGGAACATAGGGCTTCAGTAGCACGTCTCCAGTGAACTCTGTTCTCTGAAATCTTTTCAACCTGGCTACACGACAGCCCAGAAGCTCTCATTTCCTCCTCACACGATCTCCTCCATGTCACCCTTAGACGTCCAACTCGTCGCTTCCCATGGGGATTCCACTCGGGGGCCTAGCCTGGAGCGTGATGTCCTCAGTCGGCCTTCTCAGTGTATGCCCAATCCATCTGCATTTCCTTCTGCATATTTGTTGGGTGTATGTAACTGTTGGGAGTAATGCCTGGTCCTATGTTGATATTGATTGGTTGACTTTGACTGGAAAGACAACTTATAGAATAAAGAATGTAATTAGTTATTTCAGATGTTGGTAAGGTGACCTTTAGAGTCACTCCAAAAAACGATGTTATTGTCTTCAGTATATATCAGTCATAACATAAAGCTTTGAATTATGATTTTTGACACGAAGATGTAGTATCGATCTAAATGTAACTATATTCTGGTAAATATTGGTGTTTTTGTTGATACTTATCACCTCAAACTACAGTTGTTTTCAGCGGATTGAGTTTAGCTATCACCATCACAGAATTTGATAATTTCAAGAAACTTTTTTCAAATATTGATATCAATTGGAAAGTGATTAAAAGTCAGTGATTGCTTAACAGCTACCTTATTCCAGTTCAGTACTCAATAGCAGTCAACATAGGCTGTTCTGTGTAATGTAGAACAATTTCCCAGATTTTGAAATCAGCTTTTTTCACTGTTTATCTTTTTGTTGATCAGAGACGCAAAGATTAAGAATTGGACTGTTAATTGATTTAAATTCTCCTCTCGACAATCACGCAGGATAGTGCTTAGAGATACGTTTGGAAAATGGGCACTCAGATACCCACGCAAATTTACTGAGAAAAACTTGAAATTAGCACAAAGACTAAACAGGTTTTTCAAAAATCACCTCGACAGATAAACATCAACTTAAAAACTCACAGATAAACACATTAGTTCAAGTTGTCACACTTAACATCATGCAAAGAAGTGAAGAGGAAAAAAGACATTAAAGTAGTTAGAAGTGTTTGAAAAGAGATATAAGGTTGACGAAGATGTTCAAGGCTTCAAATATAGCAAAGAGTGTATGCATCTATGTATATTGTGATTTATTTTTTGCGGCATATCACCACGATTCTCTAAGCGTTAATCTCTAGACAACTAGACAGTTTAATTTTGACATCTCTCATACGGCAATCCTATCACACATAGCACCGCTGTAAAAGCCTGTAGCCTGTTGATATCTTTCATTTTCAGCGGCCATATCAATAAGACAAGGCGAACTACTGTGGAGTATATAGTATACTCATCCTCTAATATAATTCAACTATCAAATATAATTCACCACAAAAAATGGGATGATTAGTTTGGCGGCATTCACCAAGTGAATGCTTTCCCTGTTAAGTATACTATGTAGGATATTTCCTTTGTCAATAAATTGGTCTAATGTATACGAGATATTGTTCATTACCTCTGATTTGAATCCAAAAAAAAACAAACAACCAGTCATAATGATTTTTTACTGACAGTTTATCTGTCCACAAGTTGTTACAGTTTCTCATTTATAGGGCGTATGAAAAGGTGAGAAAATATGGTATTCGCTTAGATTAGTACTACTTAACACTAAATGTATATTTTGTAACTGTTCATTGAAGTAACGCTAGTTCACTTTCTTACTACTTGAGCTTTGTGATATTCATCTCTCTTTAACAGTCTTACAATACATATCTTCTCACTTCGGTCTTAGATAAAAGAAATCCGGACATAAGCGACACCGGATCTGATGTGACTGTTTATGAGACCGAGTTATATTATTTCACTCCAACTCCTCGAAAGGCGAATGAAAGAAGGAGATAATAATAGTTATGAAGAAAAAAGAAGCTTATGGAAACAAGTTGGAAACAGGAATAAAAGAATTAAGATGGTAATAATAATAGAATGCTGAAGATTAGTCATAGGAAAAAAGACGATCTCTATTGTTGATAAACTGACACTTGCTGCGAATAATGGTTGTGCTTTTTATACATAGATTTTTGAACTATATTTATATTACTATTTACTTTGCAATACACTAACACTGCTTACCATTTGCATTCTTTGACAGCTACCATCGAAACTAGAAATAACATGGAGTCGTCGACTGTTGAAAACAGCTGGTCTTTGCAAATATATGACACGTACAACCACTCACTCAAACGGAATATCGAGTCAGGTGCATATGTAGAACTAAAATATTTTTTAAACTTATCATATAATCTGATAGTTTTTACAATATCACCTCGTAATAACTCATTTAAATAGTCCTTGTCTATTGAGTGGTTGCAATATGTCGTCAATAATTGTGTTGTATCACTTGGGAAAGGTTCACTTTCTAAGGGCATTAAAGTGTTAAAGTTGTATCGTGTAACACTGATACTATAAATAGTACATTGAATTTTCATGTAACTGTTTGCTTGATGTTACGATGAATATTTTGGTTTTGGCGCTTTTTTCGTATAATCAGTACAGTATGTTCATAGAAGCTCTCAATTCTGGTGACTTCTGTGAATCAAAGGTTTTTATCTTGTTGTTGAACTCATTATGCCAGTGTATGATTACTTGATCTAATATCCACTACTACTTGTTGGTTAAGTGCATGATCTGATCGCATCCTCTAATAACCAACCTCTTCTAATTAATGATTGTTTTTCATCAGAAAAAAAGGCTTTTTAGAAGATTATGAAAGTATTAATCCAGCCAAAATCCTGTACCCACTTGTCACTCGAAATTATCACCGTAAGATTGAATTAAATACGTGAAAGTCAAATGTGAATAATGTGAAAATTCTCGTTTGGATATTTAGAAAAAAACAGTATGAGCGTGGGAATATTTCTTTTCCAGTAGTTCCGCGTCAATGATTCTACACCAACATATATACTGGGTGATGAGTGAAGATGAAATGAAAATTCGGACAGTAGCCGGACTCGAACCACGAGCTACCGGGTTTCCACCCCGATATTCTTCCAACTGAACTACGAGATCCGACTGCTGACCAGGCTTTTATCTTACTTCAATCACCAAGTAGAATAAAAATCTGGTCAACAGTCGTACCTCGTAGCTCAATTGGAAGACCATTGGGCCAAAAACCCGATGGTCACTGGTTCGAGTCCGGCCATGGTCCAAATTTTCATTTCACCTTAAATCATCACCCAGTATAACTACTACTCTAGCAAACTACAGCTATCTCAGATAGTCAAATGACAACTTATATATATATATATATATATATATATATATATATATATATATATATATATATATATTCTCAAAATAGAAAACTACATACCAGTCTAGTGTTAATAATTGTTTCATAGTAGAATACCAGTCTCAAAGTATCAAGAGGGCGATAACTGATCAGAGTAATTAAAACCGTAGCTAAAGTATAGAATAATTATGCGGTAAAATTTGTGAAATTTTACACTGGTTGATACCTCATTAATAGTCTGTGTAAAGTAGAAACAGGAAGAGAAGATAACGAATCATGTTAAGTGGTCAATTGCTGACAGTAACTAAAGATGCAGGGAAGAGTAAACATTTGCATTGATTATTATTATCATAATTATTATCCCTATTATTATTATCACTATTATTTTAGCCATATTACTTACTCTTCCATCTTTTGACTCCTATTCCTGTCAACAATTGACCGCTCAACAAAATTACCCTGATTAGTTATCACCTCCTTGATACTTTGAGACTGATAACCTATTATGGAACAATTATCACCACTAGAATGGTATATAGTTTTGTATTTTGTGAATGCTATATATATTAGTGTAGAATCATTGACGCGGAACTAATTGAAAAGAAACATTCCTTGATTTTCATAATATTCATCCCACAGTCATACATAAGTTTTGGTGCAGCATTATTCCAAACGTTTGAAATTAATATGCTTTTTGTTGATCGTTGACGATTTTAGCAGGCAGTCATACACTAAGATAAAAAGGAACGTTTTAGAACACTCAGATAGAAGCTTCCTTTCTTCAACATTTCAGTTATGCTACTATGTGTTTCAAATAATCCCATCGAGTAGTTGGGCTGTTTTTGAATCAAGCAATGTTCTCTATACCGTATCATAGTCCCATATAACGTAATGTACTTTCACCAAGTAATTTGACTCAGACAATCACAGTTGTCATTTCATCTGATATTTTATCTCAGTCAAACATAGGGTGCTACAAGGAACAATCACTATCCACAAACACTCTAGGTTGTTACATTTCACACTGTTATTGTTATATCAGTCCACCGTGTTTCTTCACTAGCTGAAGTGGTTAGTTATTGCGAACTGGTACTGCTGAACGTTTCGAACTTGTTCGGCAACCATGGGTTTTGCTGTTGGTAGTTATTATTATTATCTCAGCGTCAGACTAAGTAGTACAGCACAAAAAATTTCAAACTTCTCACCCATCACGATATTTTATGTTCATAAAAATAAGTATTTACTTCTTTAAAGCCTCTGCTTACTGAGTTTTTAAACTTTATTATGATCCTATCTTTTCCGTATTTTCTGGTCTAGATTCGATTGGCTCAGATTTTGTTATCAGAAAAGGTGTGTACTACAGCTGAACGTGTGCGAGATACTCTGTTGCACGAAATTTGTCATGCAGCTGTTTGGCTAATCGATGGCATTAATGACGGTCATGGACGTCGTTGGAAAGCTTGGGCTAATCGAGCTCATAAAATTTGGCCTAAATTACCTATGATTTCTGTTTGTCATGCGTATACTATTGATACACGATTTACATACCGGTGTACAGGTTGTGGCGCATGTATCAACCGACATAGCAAGTCTTTGGATATCTCAAAGAAGGTAAAAATCGAATTTATACATAGCAACGTTTGTGACCGCCTTCAGCTAGTTTGAACAGATCTATGTTACTCATTTATAGGCCCGGGTGACACGGAAGTACCCATTTATGAAATCATAAGTTGGAGGATTCCACATAACTGCATTTTGTTTTAGGAACTGTATTTTTTATGCGGTGCGTTTGTTTGTTATGCTTCTATTCCTTGTTTCTGTTTGTGTGATATCAGGTGTGTGGAAATCGACTTCTAATTGTTCTAAAAAACTTAGGCCACTGATTATTTTAATGCTCCTTGAAATATATAACTCGCAGTCAAATATTTTTCACATTCAATTCATAAGCTATTCATAGTTCCCATAAAATAGCCGGGTCAGTTGTTATTTGGTTGCGTTTCATATAATAAACAGTAAATTGCATGCTAATCTATCTTCATGAAGTGTTTGTTAGTGAAACATCATATTTTGGATATGCTTACTAATAGTGTAGAAAAATGAGAAGACTGAGACGCAGGAAAGAATGTTTATTATTGACATCTTGTACAGTACTCATCAAATATTGTACACCGTCCACTAAGACAGTCATTTGCATAATGTGCTTCATTTCCTCTTCTCCTCCTCTCTCGACCTGCTCTTAATACGCCCAAATTGTCTTTTTCGTTGCTCTAGGCAGAATCTTTACCCACTGCTGGTAATTCCCCATGATTTCTGCCGCCCTAGCAATATATACTACTTATATCAGCAGCACCCACTACAGTAGTGCTAAACTATTAAGAGAAACTTCTTATTGGACACGAAAACAATATTTTTATAAGTTATACCTTTGTATAAGGTTAAATTATACTACTTGACTGTGGTTCAATAGTCTAGTCAATCAACTTCCAGCTCTTAAGCTAAAAACTTAAATGCACTCGTTCTTTGGCTTAGAAGACTAGATACCGTCAAAAGCCCTCACATATAATGTATGTATCAAAGTCTAGTCCACGAAACTGTATGTGATCAGTAACTATCAATACTCTAGTATGTGGAGCTCTATTTTAGCCTATGGACCAATGGTGTTAGTTCGAGTACTAATTAAATAAAGTGTAAGAAAACTGTCTTATGTGTTCATGAAATAATTAATATTTCCATCTATTCTTGTTGTTTTTAGGTTTGTAGTTATTGTCGTTCACAGTTTGAATTACTTATCAATACACCTAGAGGTCGTATGCTTCGACCAAGTTTAGCTGCTCAATACGATAAACGTCTTCTACCCCATTGTTCTGCTAATAAAACACCAAAAGTATCCACTACTCCAAGACCATATCGAATTTCAAAACCACTTCATGAAATTAGTCAAAATCAGGATGTTCAAAATGGTCTATTAAATATGTTCAGAGATATGAATCTTTTGAGTTAAAGAAGTTTTCTTTTTACATAGCAAATTTTCATTTGTTTTAAAATACGAACCTTAATAAGGTGATATTTATAACTGACTTTGCTTCCTTTTATAGCCTACTGGCTTTTGCATTTTACAGGCTTCAAGCTTTCATCCTACCTCTTAGTTTATTGAATTTCGCCTACACTTTTCTGTCTGAAATATTCATATGTAATGTTATTTCAGTAATAGTTGGAATCTGAAGAAATTTCCTTTTTCTGTCTTAAGTTGTTTTATGTAAAATTGTTACATTTTTATTGTTAAAAACAGTTTATTTATTTATGTCCCTCTGCATAATCATACTGAGTTTCGATGTGATCAATGGATGGAAAGAATTCCGATTAATTGATTAATAATACTCAGAAATAATTGATTATATTAGGTACAGTTTGGTGATTATCTTATTTGTGTCACTCTGATCTGATTATTGTTCAAGCATGACGAAGATATTTCACTGGTAGCCCTTCTAGTTGTATTTCAAGTTTAGAATGAGATAATAAAAAAGTAATATAACTCATCTACCTAGCATAGGCCTATGTATTAGACTACAAGTTACACCTAATGTTTGACGCCTCATGATACCTCCTGGTTGCCCAGGTCGAGGTGGATAGAGCTTATTGGAAGTCTCCATGATGTTTCAGTCAATCACTGTTAATAATTCAATTATTGCTACAGCACCACAATATCATGTGGCTAAAGCTTCTTGGCACACAGTATCCCATATTCGATAGAAAACCAACAGTAAAGAGCAGAGCATGTAGCTTTTTGACACACAATTCATGCGCATTATTTTTGGTTTCGATAAGAAATACATTTCCTAATGGATAGTACTGGTTTTGCGTATACTCCTAACCAAGTAGTGCTAAAACATTTACGGAAATAAGAGTAAAAAAGTCGTATTAACAGATATTCCAACTTCACATACAAAATTTTAAAATACTACATACAAGGGGGTTATTGTAGGCAATTCGGTAACCAAGGTATATTTCATCTGAGCCTTAAGCCACATTTATTGAGTAAAGGTGACCAACACTACCTGACTTCTCACTTCTATGGGTGGAGCCGAGCGACCTACAGACGATTTTAACGGAAACTTTTGATTCAGCGAAGAATTCTCTTGTCTTACAAGTGAGTCCACCAGGCTATGTCTCATCTATGCAACCGTAATTATATCTCCTATTATCTACTCCACTCTGTCTGCATAATTTTTGTAAGAGACGTGTTTATGAGGAGATAAGAGATAGCTTTTCACTCAATTGTGTATTTCTGAAGATACCCACGTTCATTTATTTGCTTACAGAAAACAAAATATACTTCAAATGATGCATTGCAGTGTTATGAAAATATAAAGCAAACAAAAGCCGGTAGTAGTGAGGGAGAAATAATAATTCTTCTGTTAGTGTTGGAGCCATCACAATATAACAGCCTCATTAATTGAGTGATCTACGGGACTCCTGTGTAGTAATTTATAACATAACAACAAAGGCGCACGTTTTTCTTTGGTGTTATCATAAATTGATTACTTCAGGTATTTTCGACAGACAATTCTTTTTACGGTTACCGAGCGTAAATTGTATTCAATTTCCTGAAGCTGATATTGTAATCTGAAAACAATAGTCTCCAATGTTCACCAACGTGAATTGGTTGCTTCGTAGACCGCGCCAATCTAAAAAGCCATCTAATATTCTTAACTCATGTCAGTCATGTTTCACTAGCATGAACTAGAAGTGTATACGTCGAAGTAACATTTGGTTGGATATTTTAAGCCAAGCAAAACTTCAGTAGCTGACTCCTTTAATATTACATTACGTTCTGCTTTTTTTTTAATGCCTGTCATTTTGTCAACTAATACTACTTACGATTACCAAAATACATGAAGGTTTTGACAATTAACCACTTGAAACAGTATAGAAATGAACTGTCTTTGGTCTTAGAAAAGTAATTTACATATGAATGGTACAAAACATATGTATTTACAGTAGCTGGCTGTTAACAAACCGGGTGTAGCCTTCATGTTTACGTGGCTGAAGTCCCCAGGTGAAAGTTTGTTCCACTATCAGAATTACCTGAGAATATCTGGTACTTTTGAAGGAGTGTTATGGAAGCAGGCAAAAAAGTTTTACATTGATGTTTTGCTGAATTAGATTTCTAATCCTATATATTGACATACTCATAGTCTTATGAAGTTCTCTATACTGTCATGCGCTATACGACCTCTGATTTGGGAGTTCAATTTACTACCATCACGCAACAAAAGAGTTAAGTGATTCTAAAAAAATGTGTCTCAACTGCAGTAATGTCTGGTTTTGTGTTGATATTGATCGATTGACTGCAGGATCTTGGTGGAGCGGGTGGAAAAGAAAAATACTTCCTTCCAACTACTATGAGGATGCAATTTACATCATTGATCAAGTACTTTGTGAACTTGAATTTTAAACCCTATAGGACGATCCTGTGGAACAACTACCTATTCAAGTTGTATCACAGTAGAAAATCTTTATCGTCATATAAAAACCTGGTACTAAAGTGGCAGCACGTTTGCTGTAACAGACCTTCGTCTATTTAAAGTTACTTTCAACAGCATTCTTGCGATGCTACTGCCAGTTGTGTGTGTATCACCTATCAGAACTCTTGATTAAATAAGATTTTCAACTATAGAACTAAAAGTACTCAAGTAAAATTCTTGCCAAACGCAGACCATATCTCGAGACATTATTCCAAAAAATGCACTTCACTAATTCAGAGCATTCGGTAATGTTTTTGAAGTTGTGAATAATTACTTCTAGCTAGAACAATGCATATGGTCTTCTGGTTAGAATCACAGTCACCTCTCGTAAACTGGTTGGTGGCTATGAATATTTAATGAAATTAATATACTTTGTGCATTCTAAAGTGAAGTGGAAAGATAGGAAACTATGATGCTGGAAGTTTTGAATACTTACGAAAGAAGCAACTTAATCACCAGTGATTGGAAATTGAATGATCAAGTCAATGAAAGACAAGAACACTGGTTGTTTGAGTTACGAAAGATAAGATAAAATCATAACTGACAAAACAGGACGAACAAATTCTGTTCAAAGGATAAATAGCTGTTTCTGTTGCTCATCTCCGTTGAAATGTCAATGTGCACAACATTTTGCTTGTACCTTTCAAAAAATTATTCACCATATCACTCACAAAACCAGTCATCGGTTGTGTTGCTGTTTATTGTCTAACATATATTAACTGGAAAAGGATACGAAACAAGGTTAGTAGTCCCTTGTAAATAGACAAGTGTGTGATCTGTATATCTTAGATTCCATAAAGATGAAATGACTTGCTTTTTTGCTGAAGGTCTGCCTTATGAAGATATAATTTCGAATTAAGTTTGCTTTCTGTATTTCAACGTATTTATTGAAAAGCTGTTTGTTCACGTTTTCGTACGTTTTGTTGAATCAATTAAAACTGTATAGGAACGGTTATTAAGGAATAATTCTTGACAAGGTTTGCAGTTAATTGTCATTTCCTAGACTGAATGAAATCGGACACAATATATTACTGGGTCTGTTAGTGAAGTCCTATGTGTTTAATAAAGGTGGAATAAATCTGCAAAGCTAATATCAGTTACACTGGTCCCAAGTGAGAATTGATGACAGTGGAGAAGGAGCCTTTCCCTATGTGACTGCAATTCAAGAGAGACGCTCTCAATGATAGATATCCTATCTCAACCCTAGCTAAAGCAGTCGATTAGAAAGTTTTATGCAGGTCGTCTCTGTATATCCTTGAGTAGTCTACAAATTCTCAATCCGATACTTAAACGACAGCCTGCCTAATCTTAGCTCTTCAGTTTGCATATATCAATTTAATCGTTCCTGTAGAATAAGTTACATAGGGCAACTGCGTATCCAGATACGACAGCATTTTCCGCCCTGGTTCGGAAAAGGGGAAGTAAAAAGTTTCGTCCTAGCGCACCTAGTAGATACTGGGGATTACATATTTATTAATAAAGCTTTCAATGTCGTACCGTTTGCCAAAAACTATACCACGTGCAGCCGACCAACACCTGCTCAACATAGCCAAGGTTGTCGCAATGAGACTGACCAATCCTGAACTTTAAATTCGGAAAGATCATGTCCAAAATAAAGGTCACTCCTGTCTTCTTTATTCGTTGTCATTATTCATCTGTACACATTTCATACTAAGTGGCAAATTTTAAAAAAACGATTTCCTTACAGTTCCGAATTCTCACTCCATTTTGGAAATGTATTTGCCTCTAACTTGCTTTATTTTTTCAGTGTACAAAAACATTTTATAATTGTAGAACCTGATCAGAATTTGTTGAAGAGAATATACTTTATTCAGATTGTTGCTTTTTATAAATTTTTAAGTCATACAAAAAGCGCCTGGAGTCATTTTAATTTTGCTTTCTCAAAGGTTTTAACTACAACGTCTATCTTGCCGTTAGAAAGCCTTCAAACTTCCGAAAGAAGTCTATGATGATGATGTTATCCAGAACGGCATTGAAGGTTTCACAATTAAACCATCCAGCTCAGATAGCACAACGCCATCAAAATTTTCATAAATTACCTTACACACATAGACCACTTGATACGATAGTAAGATCTTAACATTGTTTAAGAACATAATTCTGAAATAGTTTATTCAATTTATATGGCCCATATTGATAGAGTATAATATGTTGTTGCAAAAAATTCTTTGGTAAAGAAGTGAATTTAGGTTAAAAATAGAATACAGCTAATTAGAATCTGGCATTATAGAATAAATTATCTTCCAAATACCAGTTTAGCTCCCATAATGTTTAGAAAATAAGACTGCACCAGTATTTACAGGTGGTTATAGTTAGAATTTGAAGTCTCAAACCCGCCTAAGAAAAGCAAAAGGTATAATTGTAATCGTATACATTCTAGGCTGTCAGCTAGTTCTCGTAGTTCATTCACTTCCTTGCGAATCAGATAGGGTCTATCAAAAAGGATAATATGCCTCACTATAGGCTATATAGAGTCAATGAATAGTAGTTGTTGTGATATTTGTAATTTCCCGTTGTTATACAGGACCAGATTGCTCGACCTCTGTTGGCAGATGGGCTGCTATACGGATACCGTAATACTGCTGAATATTCACGATGCTATTTTAATCTTGGTGACTAGCAAAGAAGTCCAGGAAGCATGTTTCATCCCACTTGGGGCTCGTCAGCTGGATGCACCTGCATCCCAGTGAGTGGTGTTGTTCCCGATAGCTCCCGAACCCAGTAATCTTCGCTTCAAACGTCATAGTGTTATTCAGTCACTAAGATTAATATATCATCATGAATATTTAGTAGTATCGAGGCATCCACAAAGCAGCCCATTTTTCAACAGAAGTGGAGCGATTCGGCCCCGTATAGAAGCGGGAAA